AAGTTGCACCAGGGGATGTTTAGGTTGGATATTAGGAAAAACTTCTTTACTGAGAGGATTGTTAGGCATTGGAGTGGGCTGCCCAGGGAAGTGGTGGAGTCACCATCCCTGGAGGTCTTTAAAAGTTGTTCAGTTGTTGAACTTAGCGATATGGTTTAGTGGAGGACTTGTTAATGTTAGGTCAGAGGTTGGACTCGATTATCTTGAGGTTATTGCGCCCCAGGTGCAGGACCCAGCACTTGTTGAACTTCATACAGTTGACCTCATCCCATCGGTCCAGCTTTTCCCGATCCTTCTGCAGAGCCTTCCTATCCTCTAGCAGATCAACACATGCATCTGACTTGGTGTCATCTGCAAACTTACTGCGCATTGATAAAGATATTAAAGAGAAATGGTCCTAGTACTGAGCCCTGTGGGACTCCAATAGTGACTGGCCTAAGGAGCTGTTGACTTGGCTGAGGATGGAAAGGCCTTGCAGAGAGATCTGGACAGATTGGAGAGCTGGGAAATCACCAACTGTATGAAGTTTTACAAGAGCATATGCCAGGTCCTGAAGCTGGGAAGGGGCAATCCTAGCCTAGACTGGGCAATGAGATGCTAGAGAGCAGCCCCACAGAGAGGGATCTTGGGGTTGTGGTTGATAGCAAGTTGAGTATGAGCCAGCAGTGTGCCCTGGTAGCTAGGAGGGCCAACTGTATCCTGGGCTGCATCAAGAACGGCATTGCTAGTTGGTCGAGGGAAGTGATTGTCCTAGTTGCATAGTCTAAACTTTTGGGTAGACCTGTGTGGTGCCAAGAGTTGGACTTGATGATCCTTGTGGGTCCCTTCCAACTCAGGATATTCTATGATTCTATTATTGCAATCACAAATAAAAATTTGTGGGAAGGAGGGAGGGAGTGGTAGGAGGGAGGGAGGGAGGGAGGGAGGGAGGGAGGGAGGGAGAGGAAGGAAGGAAGGAAGGAAGAGGAAGGAAGGAAGGAAGGAGGAAGGAAGGAAAGGAGGAAGGAAGGAAGGAAGGAAGGAAGGAGGAAGGAAAGAAGGAAGAAAAAGAAAGAATTAAGAAGGAAGAAAGAAAAAAGAAAGAAGAAAGAAAGAAAGAAAGAAAGAAAGAAGAAAGAAGAAGAAAGAAAGAAAGACAAGCAAGAAAGAAGAAAGCAAGAAAGAGAAAGGAAAGCAGCAGTTAAATAAGAAGAAAAAAGTAAAGAAAGAAAGAAAGAAAGAAAGAGAAAGTTTTTTTTTTTTTTTAAAAAAAGAAATTACATAAAACATGCATGTGAATAAATAAACGTTTTTTTTTGTTTTTGTTTTGTTTTGTTTTTTAATGTAGAGAAGTATTTACATATGCAATAGTCTTAAAGGTTTTAGAAAGCAGTATTTTATTTTTATTTTTATTTTATTTTATTTTTACCCTACAATCTAAAAGATAAGACATGGTACATCTAGCAGTTACCAGTGGCTATTATATTAACACCCTGGTAAAGAAATAATTTTCAAAAAAAACAAAAATAAATTTTAAAAAGTAGAAAAAATAACGAATCAGCCAAAGCTAGTAAGGAGCTAGAAAATCCACTTAAAATTGTACTGGGTCTGGTTGGAATGATAACTTTCCCGGCAGCAGCCCATACAGTGCCGTACTCTGTACTTGTAGCTGGAACAGCAGTGTTATCACACCAGTGTTGTGTCTACTGCTGAGCAGCAGTGGCACAGTATTAGGCCTTTCTCTAAACCTCCTAGGGGGTGGGCAAAAGGTGAGGAGAGAAACATCACTAGGGCAGCTGACCTAAATCAATCAAAGGGATATTCCATACCATGTGATATCACACTCAGCAATAAAAGGTGGAAACAGGAAGAAGAGGGGAGGGGTGGGCTCTCGTTGAGAAGACGTCGGTCCTCCTCTCAACACTGGCTGCGTGCGTTGAGGCCTTGCTTCAAGGACGTGGTCAATCATCGCTCATTTGTGGGAAGCAGAGAGTAATTTCTTTCCTCTGCACTTCCATATAGCTTTCATTTATTTTGTTTGTTTGCTTTCCTCCCTTCTTTTTATTTTCCCTTTTTCCCCTCCCTTTTCCCCTTTCCCTTTTTATTTCCCCTTAGTTAAATTGTTTAGTTCATGGTAGTCTTTATTTAATTATTATAATTATTTCCCTTTAATTAAATTATCCTTATCTCAACCCGTGAGTTGTTCTTTGCTTTACTTCTCCCCCTCCTCATCTAAAGGAGGGGGAGTGAGAGAGCGGTTGTGGGGTTTAGCTGCCCAGCACGATAAAACCACCACAAAAATGCATGTGTATAATGTTAACATAAGGTTAATTATTTGGCAGGAAACATTTTTCAAGAATACAGACTTTATTATAATCCATATTTTGAATTATTTATATAACACCTACCTTTTTTACTTTAACCGTTACCCATCTAGTTCAATGAAAATGTTCAGTGTTCTAATTTGCTGATGAAAGACATGCAATCAAATCTGTATTACACCAAATAGTCCAAGGTCCTTTTTTCTGCTTTATTCATTTAACATTCTATCTTTATATATAAAAGAACAGGAAAGTGTTATTATTTCTGACTGAAAGAAAAAGGACCATCGCTGGAAATAAATGTATTAAAGTAAATAGAGATAATTAGTGTTAGTTACCATAACATTTTTTTGCTCAATAAAAGATTGAATCTCATTTCTATTAAGATGTTATCCATTTGTATAAAGGTTTTCACCTTCAAAGAGCTTTACAAATATTAATATAATATATATTAATATAGTATTGTCAAAGCTTCATTATTTTTCTCCCTTTTAAGAAACTGAAATGGATTTTTTTTATTTATTTTAAATTTCATTTATTTTTTTTTTTAAGGCCATACATATAAAGGGTGGGATAGATATTCTTGAGCTTCTCAGAGATCACTCCACAAATATCTGTTACTGCACAAAGGAGCTGAAAGTCAGTTAATTACTTAAATAATTTGTAAACAGTCATCCATCACTGAATTCATATTATGTAGTGATAGCTGGTTTTGCAACCTTTACTTTTTTAACTCAGAAAAGTTTATGATTGGACCTTTAAACAGTGACTTTATGAATTACTCACAAGGCACTTCTTTTCAAAACAACAACAACAATAAAAATTATCAGCTCCTAGACTCCAAAAAGATTGCATTGGGTTTAAAATGATAAGTTCTTGCATATATCAGAATAACATAGAGGAACAAAGATTATTTTGTATCAAAATGTGTAGCATACAAAGATTACCAAGTCCTATCTATTAGTTTACCGAGTAATACATGTATTATTTTAATCATTCACGCAATGTGATCACTAGGTTCCTGATGACGAATGAATATTTGTGGAGTCTGATGTAACACTTATCAACAATTCTAATGTAAATTTTCTTGGACTTCAGAACTATTTAAAGTAGCTGTTTTTTCTCCACAGACTTATGAGTCTTTCACTGATGTCCATTCTCCTACCTGACCTAAGGCAGTGAGTCTTGATACGTCCTAAATGCAAGTTAACAACATGGGAAAAATATGCTTCTTCTGAATTAATGTAAGTTGATTAAAACATTACTAATTGATTAGTATTTTTCCAAGACTAATATTGAGCAGTATCTGAAATATGCTGTTTAATGCAGGGAGGAAGTAATATGACTGTAGTTCATGATCAGTCAAATCAGTGAAATCATTTCTCAAGTCCTAGATGCTGCAGTGGGGTGAATGGGCTAAGGGAGGTGGGGAGGGGAAAAGAGGGAGAGATATACAGTCAGTATTCATGAGAGATACTGTAACCTTTTCTTCTGTCATAAGAGATCACAGAACACTAGTTCTGTACCTCTTACTGTTCTGCAAGAAAATACCAGCTCGAGTGTTTTTATTCCATTGAAAAAAACAACAACAACAACAATAAAAAAAAACAAAAACAAAACCACTGTGAAATGTTAACTATTTTGTGAAATTGATTAGGTATTTTTTCAACATTGGTGAGGGTAGTGTTTTTCAGCTCTGGACTACTTTTCAGTACTTGATACAACATAAATAGTTAAATGAAAGAATCTTAGTTCTGACTACATAGCTCTTTTACGTGCATGTGTATGTGTGTTTGTCCCCATTTGTTCACGTGTAGAGATTTTTTTAATTTATTTTTATTTTTTCCCTTGTGGACACACCACACTATTTAATAAGGAATTTAGGCATTATTTATTTAGTGTTATTTATATCTTCTTAGCAATATTAAAATTTCATCAGAGTAGGAAATTAGAAAATTATATGAAATTAAACTTGACTGTATGTCGGTGTTTGTAGGAAAGGCATTCATCTCCCTGCAATGTAGGAATAATTCGTTTATTTCTTTAACTTTGGTGAGATCAAGGATTAAGAGGTTTGAAGAGTGTATACAAAGAACAGTGCCAGTTCTTGTCAAAAATTACTTTTCAGACAACCCTTTAAAAAAAGAGAAAGAAGTGTAGCTTCTTAGAAAATCATGTTCCATAAGCACTTTTAATATTTTATTTTTCCTTTGTAAAGCTTCTATAAAGGAAGCTTTAAGAGTTTTAGAAAACCAGTACACCCTTCCTTCCTACTACCAACAGAAAATTACTAGAAAAGAGTAAATTTAAATGGGAGATCCTTTCATTTAATTATTCTTTTAACAATGTTCTTGAGAAAAAGTTTAAAACAGAACAAAAAAAAAAAAAAAAGAAAAAAACAAAACAAACAAAAAAAAACCACTGAGATTACTTCGGTGTCTTCATACCTGTACCTTTTTAATTCAGTTGTATTTTAAAAAAAAATAATTATTTTTAATTCTTGTTCTTTATAAAAATGTACGATCTCATTAAGTGATCAGACACACTATGGATTCAGTATACTTTCCAATATACAACATACCAATTCTTAGGCTGCAAGAATCTAATTTGATGAAATATTAAAAGTGTCAATTTTGACACATTTTTTTTCATACTTATCAGAGATAATATGCATTTTACACACAGAGAATAGGGCACTACTTTTTTTTTTTTTTTTTTTTTTTTTTATTCTGACATTTTAAAAACAGTTTTTCTGACTTAACAAATACTTTTCTGTTGCAAAGATGAATGTTCCTTTGTGACATTACATGCCTTATATGCCTTATAGAGCTACAACTCAATCTCCTGTGTAAACATTTACAATTACTTCTCAAGGTAATTAATTTTGTTTCAAAACTATATTTTCCTATTGGTCCTCTGCAAATCTTCAGTAGTTGCATTTTCTGATTTTATCTCACACTGGTATCTAAATCTAAATCTGCAACTAATTCTTCTCTAGAAGACTATGTTTTCCTTCAAACATTTTTTTCCTTGTATGCCACTGTCATAAATAATGGTGTTGCAAATTTATATTGAATATTATTACATTTCATGTTAAATCATTCACTTAGCTAGTTACTTATTATTAATCTACAGTGGATATAGTGGAAGATGTTTTTTACAAAACCTAACTAAATTATACTTGTGCGCTAATGTTAAGCATATATTACGACCCCTTTCTAGTTAGTGCTCACAGAAAGGTGGTGGTTTTTTTTTTTTTTTTTTTTTTTTTTTTTTTAATACACAAATATTTGTGCTATTTTTTTTTCTTGTATGCTTAAGAAAAAATGTTTGCCGCAGAAATTGTGTCAATACATACAAAGTTCATTACATTAACACATTGTTCTCATTACATTAGCACTTTGTTCTATTACATATACATAGCCAGACACCAATATATTATGTGCACTTCTACATATTTTTACCGTTAAAACAATCAGAATATTGTTGTCAGTTTTAAATTTCTTAATACAAATTTTATAAAAAATATTTCCTCACCTTATTTTAAAAAGTTTCTTTTATTATCAGAGAGGTGAAAGGTCACACATTGGAATAGATTCCAAAAAGGGACAGCACAATGGTGTATGATGTCTTAATGTACTTCAGTGTTACCATTTTGTTGTACCCATTGAAATGCATCAAGTAGTTGCTAATTATATATTTGTTAGTAGTTGAAACCTGTATATTTTGAATCCAGGTGACATATAATGGTCATTCTTTCTACAGATGAAAATGAGCATTTGCATTTTCAGAGAGATGTAACTATTGTATGTTACAAACCTGCAGATAGATCTTCATTCAACAAAATTAATTTGTTTATCCCCTTAGAATCCTCCACAAAACAAAATGCTGCAAAAAGGTCTTTAAATGAAATAAAATGCCATTCACACAGGTATTTATACACACATTTTTACTTTTAAAAAAATAATATTATTACTATTATTGTTTAGTGAAATACGGATTTTACTCTGCTTTTGACTTCCTGTTCCCTTTTAAAATGCTAAAGAATAGTGAAAGAAAACAATTATTGATTTAGAGGAAAATCAGAAGATTTCCTCTCCATATTCCAGAGGAGATTTATCTCCATCAAGAAATACAACAAAAATAAGCAAAAAAAAAAAAAAAAGAAATTAAATCAAGTGACTGAAAAGTTAGATTTTCATACTTCCAACCTGTCCTCATGTAGATACATTTTCTTTCTCTTTCTCTCTGTCTCATAATTCATTTTAAATGTCTATTTTGTTGATCAAATATAGTATAATCACCACTACCATAAAAGTTTTGTCCCACATGGGTGTTACATCCCACCACACAGGTATTATATCTCACATGAATTAAAATTGTTAACTGTGATTCTTATGTCTTTCAATAGTATTGTTGATACGAGTCACACAAAAAGGAGTACACTGCCATAACTTTTATACGAAGGGAAAGCCCCTTGAGATTTTAAAGGTTGAATTTCAGAGAAGACTATGGAAGGACTCTTCTTTAATTCAATACAATTTAGGTCAGATCCTTGAAGAGAAGGGGTCATAATTATCTCTTTAAAGAGTCTAGCTAGACTGACAGGAACTAAAGTAGCAAATTAAGAGTGCATTATCTAAAAAAAATAAATAATAATAATAATAAAAAAAATATCCTCATCTATTCTCATCATTTGAGAAGCATTCTTCCCTTACCTTCCTAGCTGTGTGACCCACCACTGTGTCATAGAACACAGTGATGTATATACACACAGTTCTTGATCCTAGATTCTCAGACTCAAACTTAGTCTTAAACTACAGATGCATTTAGAACTGCAAAATTCAGAAAAATGTGAAACAGTGCATACCAAGCTGAAAATTTTCTGATTTAAGAACTTTCAAGTACCAAAAAAGGGAAATAATTTATTCCTAAAAATGAAGCAAAGATGAGCAGAATGAAGCAGAAAAGGGAGTGTAAAATTCTGAGAATCAAAAATAAAGATTGATAGAAGAAAACAAGCTTTAAAATGTATTATCACACTCTGTGTGAATGTGAAGGACATTTCTATATACAACTACTATATATGGAAAGAAATGTAAACACCATATCAGGTCTAAGTGTTTTTATAATATTTTTGGGCATCTATGAGAAACATTTTCTAAGCCTCAGAGCCTAAGTTTAACTCTATTTCTGAAAGAGGAGCAAATCAGTGACCGTTATCATTGCTTTCAATGGAAATAGATATAAATCAGTTTGAAAAACACCTTAAATTCTAAATTTCCAAGTCTACAGGGACACAGAAGTCCTGATTCCTTCCTTAGATTCTAGCTCTAAGTGTACAGTCTTCTATGGAAAACATTACAACAACAATAACAAATCAATAAAGTCTTTTTTTGTGAATTAGTTATCTAAATGTTGGTATATGATGCTATTGTAGATTCCTCGAGGTATTCTACTTCATTCCCAGATGTCTTTTCCACAGGACACATACCTTCAGTCAATCTTGTGACATTCTTACAAGGCCACATAGATATTACAGAGACCCTGTGGTGTCAATAGTAGCTTTACATTCTTCTGTTTAGACAACTTAAGCTTGTATTTCATATCTAATAATTAGTTTATATAAAATCACATGCACCTATTTTTTATTCTGTCAGGATAGTAAGCATCTGATTAGTTTTTGGTCCTAGAATCAGACCTTATCTCATCTAGCGTAGTATGTGTACAGTTATGGATGAAGAAAAAAAAAAATAACAGCCACTGCGCTAGACTCTAAATTCCCTATTTCATTATCATAATAATCATAAGCAAATTCTATAATTTTGAACAACTTAATCTTGAGGTCTGGAGTAGATCATACACACACACATGATGTTTCCAGGGAATGCATGCCAGATGTACAGACCACTGCAACTTCACAGAAGAAACTCTACTAATTTCTATGGAGAATAATATCAGTCATCATTATGTACTGTCACTCATGACAATTTAACCATTGTTAATATTTTAATTTATATTTACAAATAAAAGTTTTGTCTTTTTTGGTCCTAGTTTTATTAAAATTCGTAACTTTATCTAATTCTTATTTTTTAAAGAATTATCTCTTAATTACTATCTTAATTATATTAAGAATTAAAATTCTTAGAATATGTATGAGTCTAACTTGATTCCATCGCATGACTACGAGTGAAAACCAAAAAGAGATTTTACAGCATTTCAACACACTGTACACTTTTTCATTTTAAGTCCTGCTAGACTTGTCAAACAACAACAGCAAAAAAACAAACAAACAAACAAAAAAATTGTGGCACTGATCACCTCCCAGGGGAAAGAAGTACAATTCGTTGTGGACACCTAAATCCATGGCTCACAAACAGATTCTGCAACAAGCCAACAGCAGTTCAAAAGGCATTCCCAGGTTGAGGAAGTATGAGGGATCACTATAATGCAACATAAAAAGAATTTCCTTAGTAACACAAACTATTGGAAGCTACTGTTCACCTTGACCAAAAATCCAAAATGATATTGTAAAGAGAAGGATTGGAACAGCTTTGTAGCAATTTTCTCATTTATAAATAATATTCAGGATGTACATTAAACTTCAGTTGCAGAAGGTCACATCAGAACAGTCGGAAACTACCAACAATGAAATTGGTTACAATATCTAATCCACTGTTACATAAAACGCATTTACAGTATAATAGCTAAGGAAAACATGTAATTTAAGCCCCTATAACAATTACTGAGACTGAATTTATGCAATATAACAGGTCTCAAATCCCTTGTGTTTACTGTAGAGTGCAAGAGCTTTCTTGTCCATTGAGATCCCCTGGCTTATCAAGAAAGTCAGACAGTCACATTATTACATTAAATTAAATCATGAATGTCAGTCAGAAGAAGTATTCCTTTTGATTTTCACTGGCAGTGTTTTGTGTACTAAGCTCACTTTTCAGTGCAGATTCAGCACTGTCTTCATTTTCAGATCCTTTTGTCTCATTTTTTGAGTATATGCTTTTTTTTTTATAAATGCGTATGGCTATAGCAGTGATGCAAAGGACGATGAATATCACAACTGCTATCACACCTGGGGAAAAAAAAAAAAAAAAGTCAAGTAATTGCATAGGCAGGTAATATCATATAGATCAGGGAGAGACAGAGCAGAAAAGGGTTAAGAAAAATGGAGAAATCTGGAATTCTGAACCAGATCCTCATATCAGCTCTGTTTATGTACACCAGAAAAGAAAAGCCTGGTAAAAATGGTAGCACAGAATTTGTCCCATTCATATTCATACATCCAATATTACACACAAATTAATTCAGACTATAGACAAATGGCCCAGACTAAACAATACAGTTCATGAGAAGAATTTACAAAAGAAAAGTAGAACAGTTCATCACAGGGATTACTGTGGAAACCGTTGAGTGTTTATAGCTGCCTATCTTCAGACTAAGTGGGACAGAAATCCTAATGCTTATTTTGCCTTGTAGAAGAAAATCCCAACTCTCTTTGACTGTCTTTGTCTCATTATAAAGGGATGAAGAGTCTTTCATGATCTGTATCAGCTAGGGCTCTTATCTCTGTAACTGTCTTATGTAATAAATAGATACAAGTTAAAATAATAAAATATAAAAAGCAAGGCCTACTTCATGTTCAAGATAAAATAAAATAGATTTGGTTCCTTCCTCTTAGGTCTGTGGGACTTGATCTGACATACTAGGTGTGTTTTTCAATAGCTACATGCACTGGGGTTCCTAAATAAATAGGGTTCCTTCCTAAAAAGGCGGCATTGTGTAAGCTTTCTTTTCCAACAGATTTAACAATTCCATCTAATAGGGCAAAATAATTATCAATACAGCCACCTGCACTATGCTGTTCTAGCTGATGAGATAGAAAACAAATACGTATAAGCTTCATATAGGAATTTGTCAGTATGTATCGCATACCTAACAAGACACTGTGTGGAATAAGCACCAGGGTATGTCGTTCCTAGTCCAGCAGATTAGGAATAGTGGGGAAAGAGATACTTCCCACAGAGCTAAGTGTGAGTTTATGGACTTCTAGCCTTCTCCTCCCTTCCTCATCCATCCTCTCATGATGGGCTTAGGCCCTCAAGTTCACGTATCAGAGGTTTAGGAGAGGAATTTGAGGAGAAAAGAAATAGAAGGGAAGTAGAAAGTGCTTGTCAAAGTAGCAGGAAGCAAGACTAGGCTTCAGGGACAAAAAAAATAACAGCATGAGAAACAGTTGTAACACAGTGACTCATGTGCTAGATGAAAGAACAATCCTCTGCATAGCCTTGGTACTATTGCAAGAAAAATAAAAGTACCTACTCCCTTAGCTCTGTAAATGAGAACAGATTGTCCATTTTCAAAAAAAAAAAAAAAAAAATAGCACTTGCCAATTTTTTTTTTTTAATTTTCTTATATGAGCAGCCATCCTTAAAGTTAGGAACACAGGCTTACATGTGTGTGTTATCTCTTTCTCTGGAACAGAATCTAAAATCTGAATAAATGTTTCTTGTTTCACACTCATAGTACCTGTAAGGGCCTGTCTAAAAACATGCTTTTACTGAATTAGCTGGTCATACAATTCTGTTATATTGTTCTAAAGGTACTTATATTTGTCTTGTACTAAGTGTTGTATAGTTTGCTTTATTTTGACTTTTAAACAGTACAAAAACTATGAGTGCATATTCTCAAATGTCTTAATAAAAATACAATTGCAAGGTTATTATTGTCTTAAAACAACAACAACAACAACAACAACAAAACAACAAAAAATGTAACTATTGTATCTTGAAGTTAAAAAAAATCTGTTTTTACAGAATCACAGAATTTCTAGGTTGGAAGAGACCTCAAGATCATCGAGTCCAACCTCTGACCTAACACTAACAGTCCCCACTAAACCATATCCCTAAGCTCTACATCTAAACGTCTTTTGAAGACTTCCAGGGATGGTGACTCCACCACCTCCCTGGGCAGCCCGTTCCAATGCCTAACAACCCTTTCAGTAAAGAAATTCCTCCTAACATCTAACCTAAAACTCCCCTGGCGTAACTTTAGCCCATTCCCCCTCATCCTGTCACCAGGCACATGGGAGAACAGGCCAACCCCCACCTCGCTACAGCCTCCTTTAATGTACTTATACAGAGCAATAAGGTCACCCCTGAGCCTCCTCTTCTCTAGGCTGAACAAGCCCAGCTCCTTCAGCCGCTCCTCATAGGACTTGCTCTCCAGGCCCCTCACCAGCTTTGTCGCCCTTCTTTGGACCCACTCAAGCACCTCGATGTCCTTCTTGTAGCGAGGTGCCCAAAACTGAACACAGTACTCGAGGTGCGGCCTCACCAGAGCCGAGTACAGGGGGACGATCACCTCCCTAGTACAATTTAAAATCCTCACTCACACCAAATTGCCTAGTATATAAAGTAATCCTTACCTTTTTTTTTTTTTTTTTTTTTTTTTTTTTTTCTGAAAAAACAAAGTACTTTTTGACAGAATTAAGACACAAAATAGAACTCAGAAGCTGTATTTTAAGTTGTGACCTCAATGAATTCAATGGTAAAATTCTTAAAGTTTCCATGTATAAAAATATACAGACATAAGCATCATTATATGAGCATGGAATCTACAAGGTTTTATTACCTCTTATTTTAGTAGCTTTAGCACCATTGTGGTCAGTTCTTGTCTGGCCATGCAACATACTGTTAGCAAGTAATGACTAGAACAGGTATAATTATTTAAATGGCAGACACACAGGCGAGTGCAGGTTGTGATATAACTTCACCTTCCATAGTCCTAAATGCTTTTATACTCTGTAGGAAGCCTTGGCAGCTCTATTCTGCTGAACCCAACTACACCATTTGTCTGCTGAGACTCTGAAAACCTATAAAATGAAACCCATTCAGAACTTAAAGGCTCAAGGGGGATGACCCTTCCCTAACCAAACTTTCTTCCTGTTGTAGTAACTAATGGAAATCGAATCAATGAATTATACAGCAAAAATACCTTTTTCATGAGTGGAAAGTAGAGGTGAGGATTTTCTTCCCTCACTTTCTCCCAAGAAATCAAATACAAACAGAAATTCCCACAGGGGAAAAATTCTCACAAGAGACAACACTATTCCACAATGGAAAAATAAATAAATAAATTAAAACTGTCAAAGCCATACACTTGCCCCAGGTGTATGTAATATAATATATATAATAAAGGTGGCAGAAACTGAAATTCCCCTGAGGACTTGTGATCCCAAATTATCTCTCTTAAGGCTCTCTTGAGAGCTCTTAGTTTCTTCTAAATAAACAGAACAGGTAGGGTTCTCCACTGCAACAGAGGTGGATCTCTGCTCAAGGATGATCAGTCAGGAAAACACAGTAATGGAAAATGCGTATCCTGATTATCAGTCTACTGAACAAATGCTACTCTGTACAGGATTACATTCCTTTCCACATGCAGAACCTTAATGAAATGTCTTGAGGTGTCAAAGGATTCACTCAAGCAATGCAAAACCAATTTTCCCAAGAAGAAGCTGTACTGTTCAGATCTACTAAGGAAGATATTCTTCATTTTGAACTTGATTGTGTAGCAAAGACTAATGCTTTGGCATAGCCAAGGACCAATGATTTTTCTTAAATATGGGCTATTTGTCACAACATATCCAAATAATTTAAGTCATAGATACTAACATTAGACAGTTTGGAAACCTCTTAGTACCTTGCATTTCAGGTATTTCAACAGAATATTCCAATGTATAGCAACACTTATGGCATACTTTTATTTAATAACAAAATTTGAGAGTTTCTGACTGCATTTTACAACACTGCTTAATTTTTGTCTTTTCCGAGGCTGTAGTCTCTATTACCTCCAATAATTGCAGAGTCATTTTGGCTTACATTATTTAAGGGCTCTCCCTCATCTATCGGTCCAGAATGATCTGCAGGAAAAAAAAAAAAAAAAAGAAATTACAGAAAAAACAGGTTTTTGATAAATTCTGAACTGGTTACAGGTCACATACTGTACAATGGCAGTAGTATACAACTATACAACTGCAAAGAACAGTGATATAGATAATATTTTATAAAGATGAAAAATGTAAACATTCAGAGGAAAATATAAAGTCTAAAAAAAAAAAAGAAAGTAAGAATATATAAAAGTGAACTAGTTTTTAAACTACCCATGATAACCCGTGGGGTAGGGGAGTAGCAGGTGAGGGCCAGAAAAGTAAAGGAAATTGTCATGAGTACTCTAGATTTTGCTTCACAGATCATAAAAACTGAGAACTGCAAATGAATGCTACCTGCAAATGAATGTGTAGTTTCACTTAATGTTGAGTCAGCTCCAGTTGAGGTACCACAGCTGGATTCAGTAAAGCGTCCCTTCACAATGATGGGGGCTGAGCTGCTGTGGTGCAATGCAGATTTCAAAGGAGCGATGTGATTGAACTGCACTGAAGAGAGGCATCCAATAAAACCCTGAGAGTTTGCTTTCATTGTCTCCTCGTCTACATCACTGTTTTCTGTTAATCAAACGGAACAAAATACAATCATAATGCAAATGTAGAAAATAAAGTAACAGAAGTTATTTCACATAAGTTGACCTTTCTACTGTTATGATGCTGAAGATTTCATTTTTTTTTCAAGTTCTTTTTATCAACTTTATCAAGTTTTTTATCTATTGTTGAGCTTTCTCTTTTTTTTTTCCTTCTTTTTTTTTTTTTTTTTTTTTTCCTAATTTGCCAGTTGTCTTTGTTTCAATCACAAGGTTTTTAATTTTAATCTTCTTAGTAGGAAAACATAATACACTTTTGACTTTCATAGTTACATTTTCACCTTTAGTTATTAACAATGTGCTTGGAACAGTCTAATATAAAAATTTAAAATTATTCAGTAGTTTTCTGCTGGTATGAACATTTTATGATGACCAAGATTTTTGCATTAAAAGTACTTATTGGAGTTAAAAGTAATTATACATATACCCACAGATTTCCATTGGATCATACGAGTTTATCTTTTTTTTTTTTTTTTTTCTGTGGTAAATATATGGTAGTATAAATGCCACTATACTGTTTATGGAACATAAAGAAATGCAAAATTATTTTACTATTGTTTACTTAGATTCAAAATGAAGTGAGAAGGAGGAGATAGTGTTTTGTCAAAGTGACACATTTCCATACTGGGATCAAAAAGTTTGTATGATTCAACACATCCTTGATGTTGGTGTTAACTGAGTATAGTTTATCAGAAGAAAATTTAATGAAAAATATTTCAAAAAATATTCTTTTTTTTTTTGGTTACAAATATATATATATATATCCTTTGAGAGCACATTACAACACTTCAGAGGCCTTTCCTTTAATTTGTTCTTTATCTCAGCAGTTTACTGATGAAAAAAAACAAACAAACAAATGAAAAATTCAGTAAAGAAATCAAGTTGACTAACAGGGAGCAATAGATAGTTCTCTCATTGAAACTTTTTGCTGCTTTTTCAACAGTACAAATCCAGAAATTAGGAGTCACGAGTAGGAGTTAATTGTGGAACTGTCATTTGTCACACTGCTAAGTAGAGATAGATTAGGTAGATAGATTAGATAGATAGATAGATAGATAGAAAGATAGATAGATAGAGATCCATCCATCCATCCATCCATATATTCAAACTAATAGAAATGATAAAAACAGAGAAATAGACCATTAGAAGGAAAATATTTTGCCAGCCCAATTATTTCACCAAGTAAATTATCACCACTAGTCCCTGAATATTGATAAGATCATAAGACCATGGAATGGTCTTCCCCAAATGATTATCCTGAAAAGCATCTTTACTGGGACTAAGCTTTGACAAATTTGACTGGCTAAATTAGAAATTTGGTGGGAAAACAAACAAACAGACAACAATAGATTTTTAAATGTTTTGAACTGGTTTGGTGGAGTCACCATCCCTGGATGGTGACATTTAGATGTAGAGCTTAGTGATATGGTTTAGTGGAGTGTTAGTGTTAAGTCAGAGGTTGGACTCGATGATCTTGAGGTCTCTTCCAACCTAGAAAGTCTGTGATTCTGTGATTCTGTGAATAAATTTTCTGGACTGCAAATAAATGTACATAAAATAATTGGAGCTGTGTAAAGAATGCATATTTTACTCTAACAGGCATATATTAAAGGCTTTCTAAAACACCTTTAAAAGATCTATTTGAAATACCAAATTGTAACAAAAGTGTCATAAAAAGAAATAATAAGATTTTTTTTTTAAGTAACTATTATTTAGCATTTCTGTCACTGCAGCACTGGAAAAAAATACATGTGTACTTATTCCTGCAATGACTATAAATATTACATGAATTGGCTTAAAAACCACACATTCTTTTTAAAACAGTGAAACTTTTTGTATAAATCAGATCTAAGCAACACTTACTGGAAGCATACCCTTATTTTAGTTGTCATGGAAAGATTAACAACTGCTCTTGAAGAATATCATCCCCCACAGCAATCCACACTTATTGTGGGGATACCTAGGAAACTTTCCTGGGTAACTTTGACTTTACTCAGTGGAAATAAACAACTTCATCAGCAGGTAAGAACTGTAAGAACTGACAGCTTTCCTGAGGTGTGGGGTGCTTCCAGACAGAGTATCATCTTAGAAATTAAATAAACATTAAAAACAACACAACAAGACAAAACAGCACAAGTAGGAGAAACCCCAAACCCCTTGGCTTCTATCCTCTTCACTTCTCTATTTTCCCTCACAACTAAACCACCAAACACTCCACCTAACTGTTTTGTAATAACGTTATGTAAGATTGCAGTGGGTTTACGTGGCAAGGTTTTGGTAGCAGGGGGCCATAGGGGTGGTTTCTGTGAGAAGGATCTAGAAGCTGCCCCATGTTTGGTAAGGGCCCCACTGCTGATCAGAGCTGATCCAATAAGCGATGTTGTTTTGTGCCTCTGTGAGAGCATCTTTAAGACAGGGAAAAAAAACACTGCGCCACACAGCAGCTGGGAGAGTGAGAGGAGTGAGGAACAGCCTTGCAGGTGCCAAGGTCAGTGAAGAAGGAGGGGGAGAGGTGCTCCAGGCGCCGGAGCAGAAGTTCCCTGTGGCCTGTGGTGAGGACCATGGTGAAGCAAGATGTCCCCCCATGGAGTTCCATATTGCAGCCCGTGGAGGAGACCACGGTGAAGCAGGTGGCCCTGCACCGACGGAGGCTGCTGCCTGTGGAAGACCCCTGCTGGAGCAGATTCTGGGCCAGACCTGTAGCCCGTGGAGGGGAGACCACGCAGGAGCAGGTGACCTGGCAGGAGCTGCTGCCCGTAGAGGACCCAGGTTGGAGCAGTTTGCTCCTGAGGGATGGACTCTGTGGTATGGACCCATATCTGGAGCAGTTCTGGAAGAGCTGCTGCCTGTGGGAAGCCCATGCCAGATTAGTTCATCAGGGACTGTATCCCGTGGGAGGGACCCCACAGCACAGGGGACGAGAGTGACCGAGAAGGAGTGGCAAAGAAGCGCTGTAGACTGACCATAACCCCCATTCCCCTGTTCCCCTGCACCGCTTGGGGGGGAGGAGATGGGAGAGGGTGGATATGGGGGAAGGTGCTTTTGGTTTCTTTCCTTTGTTTCTCACTTCTCTAGCTTGTCAGTAATAAGCAATATTTTGAGGGTTTTTCCTAAGTGACATCTTAAAGTACAAGAATTTATTTTTTTATTTTTTGGGGGGGGAGGGGTGATGTAACCCATTACATTGTTATTGCATGGTTTTGCTCTCTTCCATTTATTTATTTTTACACGTAGTTTCTCTGGAACAGACAACATTGGTCTTTACTTTGAAATACCCATCAAAAGAGATTGCCATTTTTCTAAGAATGTACATTCCATTATATTGAATTAAATGTTGAACAGCTAATCATGGAAAGCATTTTGAAGGACATGAAGGCACATGAAGGACAAGAAAATCATCAGGAGTAGTCAGCTTGGATTCACCAAGGGGAATCAATGCTTGACCAACTTGATAAGCCACGAAATGACCAGCCAGAGGGATGAGGGGAGACCAGTGAGTATTGTCTACCTAGAGTCAGTGAGGGCTTTTACACTGTCTTGAACAAAATCCTCATAGACAAGCTGTTGATGTATGAGCTAGATAGGCAGACAGGAAGGTGATTAAAAACTGTCTGAATGGCCAGACTCAGAGGGCACTGATCGGTGGTGCAAGGTTGAGATGGAGGCCAGTGACTATTGGTTTAACCAAGAGTTAGTACTGGGTCCAGTCCTTCATAAATGATTTGAATGTTGGGGTAGAGTGTACCCTCAGCAAATTTGCAGATGACATAAAACAATTTAATGGACATATTAGAGCAAGTCTGGAGGAGGAAGGTGATCGAAGGACTGGAGCACCTCTCCTATGAAGACAGGCTCAGAAAGTAGTGAAGAGAAGGCTCTAGGGAGACTTCATTTCAGCCTTCCAGTACCTAAAAGGAGAGCAGCCTTAAAGGAGTTGGAGGTGGAGATCAGGCTCTTATCCCAAGCATTCAGTGATAAGACAAAAGAAAACGGCTTTAAGATGTGCAATGGGAAGTTTATTTTGCATATTAGGAAAAAAAAAATTAAAAAAAGTAACTGAAAGAGTTGTGAAGTATTGGAACAAGCTGCCCAGGTAAGTAGTTGAGTCATCATCCCTCGAGGTCTTCAAAAACTGTGTAGATGTAGTGCTTAGTGACATGGTTTAATGGTGAACTTGACAGTGCTAGGTTAAATGTTGGAGCAGATAAACTTACAGGTCCGTTCCAACCTAAATGATTCTATTGATTCTATGATTTTTGTCAGGAAACGTAGTGATAGGCAAAAGAGTAATAGTTTTAAATTAAAAATTGAAAGATTTAGGTTGGATGTTAGGAGGAAGCTCTTCATTCAAGGGTGGTGAGGCAGTAGAACAGGTTGACCAGAGAAGTTATGGATGCCCTATCACCAGATGAAACACAAAGCCAAGGTGGATGGGTCTTGGAGCAACCTGGTCTAGTGGAAGGTGTCCCTGCCCATGGTAGGGGATTTGGAATTAGATGATCTTTAAGGTTCAACCTTCCAACCCAAGCTATTCCATGATTCTATGATAAAAATGGGAGGAGTGGCTTATACACTGAAATTTAATGCTTCAACAGAGAGGGACGTTGACAGCCTGAAGAAAGATAGGGAGCATGGGTCTTATCAATGGCAATTGATAATCAGAGGGAAGGTGCAAAGAGGATGGAACCAGGCTCTTTTAATTGGTGCCCAGTGTCAGGTCAAGACACAACTAGCACAAAAAGAAACACAAAAGTTTCCTCTGAATATCAGGAACCAGTTCTTTACTGTGTGGGTGACTGGGACAACTTGCCTAGTGAGGTTGTGGAGTCCTTGGAGGTATTCAGAAGCCATCTGGACGTGGTCCTGGGCTACTGGCTCTAGATGGCCTTGCTTGAGCAAGGGTAGTGGACAAGATGACCTAAACCTAAATCATTCCATGATTCTGTGAAATGTAAAATAATACAAATT